AATAACTGCCAATATAGAATTCTACACCCATTCAAAAACATCTTTCAAAAATGAAGGTAAAATAAAAACATTTTCAGTTAAATAAGAACTTATAGCAGCAGATCCACACTAAAGGAAACACTAAAAAAAGTTCTTTAGGCAGATGTAGGCAGAAGGAAACAGATCCGAGAATAGCAGGTCATGGATATGGGAAGAAATGAAGAGCTATGAAAACTGTAATAATAATGTCTTGTGGGATTTAAAATATATATTAAATTAAAATACACCATAATAGTGGCAATATAATCAAGGAGAAATACATGTGCACACACAGAGATAGAGATAGAGATAGTGTTTTAAGGTCCTTAAATTCTTGGGTTGTCTAGGAAGAGAGTAAAAGTACCAAATAATATTAGATTTGGCAAATTGAGGTCACATATTGTAATTTCTTGAGTAGCCACAAGAGAATGATAAAAGTATTTGTATACAGCAAATAATATAGCCTTAAAATATGTTAAGAAAAAACTGACAAAAGTAAAAGGAGAAATAGACATATTTATAATCATAGTGGGAAATTTAAGCATAACTTCTCTCAACAACTGACAGAAAAAGCAGTCAAAAAATGAGTAAGCATGGAGAAGATGACAATTAACAACTTGACCTACTGTATGTTGTAGAAGACTGAGAATACACCTAATATTTAAGTATATATGAAATATTTACAAAAATTTATCATATGCTTGGCTATAAAGTCTCAATAAATTTCAAAGGCTTGAAATCATACAAAATTTGTTCTCTGGCCATAGTATAATTAACAACAAAAAGATAAGAGATAATCAGCATCACAGATGAAAAATGGAACCTCCCCATAGGTTCAACAATGTTAAAAATATCTTGATATGGGGCCGGCTCGTGGCTCACTCGGTAGAGTGCGGTGCTGATAACACCAAGGCCCCGGGTTCGGATCCCATATAGGGATGGCCGGTTCGCTCACTGGCTGAGCGTGGTGCTGACAACACCAAGTCAAGGGTTAAGATCCCCTTACCAGTCATCTTTAAAAAAAAAAAAAAAAAAAAAATCTTGATATATTTTGAGTAATTCTAACCAAATTTGAAAATGTAGCAAAAAATGGAAACATTTCTAGAAAAATAAAGCCTACAAAAACTGACACAGAAAAACATGGAAAACATGAAGTCATAAGTTATTAAAGAAATTTAATCCATAACTAAAACCTTCCCTCATAAAAAACTGCAGGCGTATATAGCTTATCTAGGGAACTTTTTAAAAATTAAGAATAAATGTCATTTTTATACAAACTCTTCCAGAGAAAGATAAATTGGGATATCATGAGAACAAAAAATTCTTATGTTAATCTCATCATGAGCGTATATATAAATTTAAAAAGCAAATCAAATCCAGCAACATGTAAAAGAGTAATACAACATGAGAAAGTTAGGTTTATTACAAGAATTTAATGTTGGTTAATATTAGAAAACTAGTAAAACTCACTACATTAACAAAATAAAGAAAAATCATAGGATTATTTGAATATATAGAGAATATGTATTTGATAAAATTCAACCACTTATAAGGGAAAAAGCCCTCTTGGGATTAGAAAGGAAGAACAAATATCATAATTGATGGTAAAATATTGAAAGTTTTCCCTTTGAGATTAAGAATAAGACAAGAGTGCCTTCTATTAACCTTCCTAATAAACCCTGTACTGGAAATCTTACCCAGATCAGTGTGGCAGATTGATTGCAAAAATGGCCCCCGTTCTCTGTTTCTCCCTGTATGTCTGCTCTTTGCAATGTAATGGACTTTGCAGCCCCTCCTATCAAGCGATGGATTCTGTTTGCTTACCTCTTGAATCTGGGCTGGCCTTGTGATTTGCTTTGGTTAAAAGAACTGGCAATGTACCAATTGTCAGCCTGAAGAGACACCTCTTTCTCTCTCTCTCTCTTTCTCTCTCTCTCAGAGACTCTGCCACTGTCATTGGGGATAATAGAGGCCATGTAGAACAGAACTAAGTTAGCCCAGCTGTCTGTGCTATGGCCTCAGGTACATGAGGAACCCAGCCAAGATCAGCAAAGCTGCTTAGCTGACCTGCTGCTAATTGCAGATGCTCAAGTGAGCCCTGGCAAGACTGGTTCAAATCATCAGAAATACTCAGCCACCCTACAGACTTGTGATAACTACATATTTGATTGTTTTGGAGTGGTTTCTAATGTAGCAATAGCTAACTGATACAGGTAATAAGTCAAGAAGATACAAAGTATTAAGATTGGAAAGGAGGGAAAAAAAATCTACAGTTATTTGCAGATGGTATAATTGTGTATGCAGAAAATCCAAAAGTATCTACAGAAACATTATTGGAATTAATGAGTAAATCTAGCAAAGTTGCTGGATCTCAAATGCAAAAAAAATCAATTGCATTTCCATATAATAACAACAAATAAAAAATAAAAAATAATTAAAAACCTTTTAAATAACACAAAATTATATGCAGTACACAGGAATAAAATTAACACGATCTGTGCAAGATTTCTCACATAAAATTATAAATGATTATTGAGAGAAGAAATAACTAAATAAATGGAAGGATATACTGTACTCATGGATTAAGAAGTCAACATTGTAAACATGACAATTCTTTCCAAATTGACATAGATTCAGGATAATTCCAAAGAAATCTCAGCAGTTTTTTTTTCTTCAGAAGTTGACTATTTGATTCTATAATATGCAAAGGGTTCAGACTAATGAAGTTTCTCTTGGAGAAGAAAAACAATGTTGGAGGACTTGCTCTGCCATGTACTGAGGCCGATTATAAAGGTATAGTCTTTAAGACAAGGATAAACAAATAGATCAATGGAATAGAGTAGAAAATCTGGAAATGGACCCATGAACACACTTGATTCATGTAAATAGTAGTGTTTTAGAGCAGAAGGAAAAGGATGGCCTTTTCATTAAATGGGGCTGAGACAGCTGAATATCCGCGTAGAAAACATGAAAGCTGGCCCTTACTGCACACCATTCACAAAACCAATTCTGGATGGGATGAATATCTAAATGTGAAAGGCAAAACGATAACGCTTCTAGAAGATTCTAAAGGCAAATATCCTTGTGACACTGGGGTAGGAAAAGATTTCTTAAAGATTACATAAAAAAGCACTAAACACAAAGGAAAAGATTGATAAACTGTGCTATGTTAAAATTACATACTTTTTTTCATCAGAGTTACTTTAAGAGAATGAAAGTGTGAGTCGCCTAGTGGAAAAAATATTTGCAGTACATGTAACTGACAATGCACACACATTCCTTCAGATTAAAAGAAAAAAAATTAGCTCAATTAAAAATGGGCATGCCATAAAAGAAGTTACTTAACATGGCCATTAAACACAAAAAATGTGTTCAATGTCATTATTAATTAAGGATATGTAAGCTGTAATCACAATGAGATTCACTGCATACCCATCAGAGTGCCCACATGAAAAAGACTGATGACAGCCAAAGCTGGTGAGAAGGCAGAACAATGGGAGCTCGGCTATACCACTAGTGGAATTTTAAATTGGTACAACTTCTTTAGAAAACACTTTGGTATTGTCTACTGAAAAGTAGATATGTATACCTTATGACTCAACAATTCTAATCCTAGGTATATAGTCAACAGAAAAGCATGCAAATAGACACCGAGACATATATAATAATGTTCGTAGCAGCAATTTTTAAAATAGCCCCGAATTGGAAACAATTCATATTTGTCTATTAAAAGTAGGACGGCTAAATCAATGACTTCATATTCATACATTAGAACAGTACAGTTATGGAAACCAATGAACTACATTTACATTCCACAACATAGATGAATCTCACAAATACAACATTAAATGAAAGAAATAAGACCCCCCAAATTACTCACTGCATGATTCCATTTATATAAAGTTTCCAAAATCTAAGAAGCAAGACCTAACTATAGTGTTTAGGAATGCATGTAAGTGGTAAAACTATAAAGAAAATCAAGGCAGTCTTTACGATCAGTCATGAGAGTGTTTATCTTTGGGGAGGTGAAGGGAGTTGCAGTGATTGGGAAAGGACAGGATTTCTGGGGTGCTGACAACGTTCTATTCTAGACTGCAGGGGTGGTTACATGGATGTTGACTTTCTGATAACTTATTGAGCTAAATATTCTGATTTGTGCCCTTTTCTGTATATGTTTTACACTTAAAAATAAAGGAAGTTTTTAAAAAAGTGGACGGATACATATCTGCTGATGAAACAAAATTGAAGAAGCAACAGCTTCTATGAACACTAAAGGTCTGCAGAGAAGCTTTTAAAAAGTGTTCTATTCCTAGAATTATTTGTTTGTCTTGATGTTGTCTCTCAGTCTGCTGGTTTTCCTCATGTCAGATATCCTCACAGAGATACTATCGAAAGTCAATGGCACAAAAAATAAATGTTTAATTATATAATTTAAAGTTTAAAAGGTAGTCAACTACAGTTTAAACAAAATTATAAGTACTGGGAGAAGTAAGAGAGAGGGGAGGAGAGATTGAAATAAATTCACATTTTCATTGGGGGAGAGTAAATGTCGAAAGTAATAAACCAAGAAGGCAGAAGCAAATTATTCGGAGATATGGTGGGAACCATCAGAAGAATCAGAATTAGAATCAAGAAGCAAAAAAAGATTGCTTCTTGAGGGGAGGACATGGAGAAGCCTCCTTTCCACCGTAAACCCTTTGGATTATTTGATTTCGTTCGTTTTTTGCCATGTGCATATTACTTTGATAACTCTAATAAGACATTTATGAGATTCCAGTTTGCATCATTCTCATCGACTTGCTTTAAGAATTGTTTTTTGAGTTTGTGGCATCATGACTAGCCCAAGACTAATGTCTACAGTCTGTCTTATCTATGCTGCAGCTGAGAGTGAACACTGTTTCTAAAGTACTATTAGGAGTTAAAGCTGCATCAGTCACGATTGCAGAGCTTCTGAATCACGATTTTATAATGACTTTTATTTCCTTTTAACTTTAGTTATAGGTATATTTTAATAAGAAACAAGGCAGGTTAACAATTACATTGTATATGGACAAGTGGGAAGTTATGAACATTTCTATTCAACAGTTTGAAGAGCAGCTAATATCAAATCAAAAGTAGACAAATCAAAGACAAAAGTGAAATTTCCAAAGGCATTCATATATTAGTAATGACATTAAAACTCTCTATATCCTAGACATTATTTTTTAAACAATAAAATAAAGTTTATTTCTGTTTCTTCTGCTCTGCTTAGATACCTTATAAACATTACCTTTTGTGTGAAGATCTGGAAAAAAATTAAGACATATTTTAAAAAGGAAAGTTTAGCTATTGAAAAATTGGCTATACTTATTTCTTTTTTCTTGTAATATCATAATTTCAGAGATTTTTAAATGCCTCATTTCATTATTTATGTTCACAGAATACTTATTAATGTCCTCCGTTTCAAAACTCTCATAATATTTTTTCTACTTCTTTATCGTTATTTTTCTCAAAATCTAGGTACTCCTATGCATACTGTCTGCCAAGTATTTTAGAGTGAGAAAAATGTTGAGAATATGTGTTCTAGAGAAAGGGTCTTATAGGGTTTTTTTTTGTTTTCTTGTCTTTATATCATATAGCAGTCTCACATATTGTTTTGCATGTGGTAGGTGCTCAAAAAAGTTTGTCGTATTGAATCATATTGAGTATTATATAATATAACATTATTACAATAGGACTAGTCAAACCTTGAGTGAAAAATCAGAGCTGGTGTAAGAAAAGTCATTAATCATGTATGACATATAATTGAAAGTAACTTTCCTGTTACATATGTTTGTGTAACTAAGTGAAGTCTCTCCATTCATTCTACATTTACTGGATGTCCACACTACCAGGCACTGTGCTTGGCTCTGTGCACACCAAGATGAACAGGATAAGATCCTTCCCTTGAAGCCACATGCAGCCTAGTGGAGACAGCTGATCAGTGAGTGGAGAGTTCCAAAACAATGTGACCTGGACTCAGATGGGCCCACATTTTCTTTTCCTCTCACTCCTTTCTTTTCACTACTAAAGCGATGAGTGTCTTGGCATCTTGGCAAGGTGGAATAAAGAGGCAAAGCCTTTCTCAGCATAATAATTAGCAAGAGAGGGGTTATTTGCCTTGTAGAAAGAATCTGAATGATTTAGGCCTCTGCCTAAATATGGGAAATTATCCTGTTGTAGGAGACCTTGGGGGCGCTCCTCCAGGACGGGGACACTCAGCAGTGGAGCCCTAAACCTGGGGGAGGTGGGAGGAGTAGAAAAGCCCAGCAAAGCGGGGAGTGTAAAGAAAAGGTGGAAAGGGGAGAAGAGAGCAGGAAAGGCACCCCTGGATTCCCACTGGAGCAGATTCTATATGGATTGCAAGTGACTTGGTGGGACGATAAAGAAATATTATCAGTGTTCATGATTGGCCTATGGTGAAATTGTTTGTTCCCTTCTTAGGTGCTGGGGGCATGTAGTGGAGGTGTTCTTAGTGTCCCACATGGACCCATGGATGAGAAAAGGAGGGATTGCCTAGCTCAGGCTGCACAACAGATGTGGGAGAGTGGCAAAGATATGAGAAGATGCTTAGGAATCTGCAAATTGTTCAGTAAGGCACAGGCGTGGACCATGTGTCCAAAGAAGCTGACCCCACGGCAGTGCTTTCTTATTTGATGACAATCAGCCAATTATCACAATTGTTCTTAATGCTGGACAAATAAGCGTCAGGAAATACAACTCAGTGTTGAGTGAAAGAATCTCCCTTTGAGGATGAGGAAAGGAAGAAAGGGCAGGCTAAGTTGTCCTCCTCAGGGATACAGTCCACAGGCGACAGAGATTTGTAATATTCATCTTCCCCATCAAGCACTTTGATTTGGCTGCAACAAAGAAAAGAAGAGAATTTTCAACAGAAACTGAAGACAAATGCCACAGTCATCATTGTGGCAGCTAAAGTTGTGTGAGTAGTTGGAACAGGGTTGGGTCCCAACACTGGAGGGGAAGGACAGCTTAGGTAGCTCAGGGTCTCCCAGTACAGAGGTACTAGGGTCTGAGTCACAAAGCCTTTTACCTCTGGGTCACATATTGATAAAGGGTCCAATTTAGTGGTGTCTGGAAGTTGTGGTCATATTGCAACTTGATCTATGTGATTAAATTGTCTGTCTCTGTCTGGTTCCCTCTAGATGAGAAAGTTGTCCTCCTGATCTCCCTTAATTCTCAAACTAGTACCTATGATCTAATTCATTGCTGTTCTCAGTTGAGATACAATCAATCAAATGAGCCACAAACTCCTTACTATTCTCTGCCTAACTGTTGGGGGAAGTTTTTCTCTGTGCATGTTTTAAGGCCCAGGGATAGGATAATGTAGAGGAAGTGGCCTATTGCACTTAGTACTTTAATTTGTGGAAGGAGAGTTTTATACAACTTGCTACTTGTATAAAATTATAAAGAAAGTACAAGTCCCTGGAATAATTGTGAAAATAACTTTTGCCCTTAGGTAATAATTTCAGCCTTTTTGGACAGAATGGATTCAAGTTTTGTATATTCACTACTGTGAAAAGTAGTTTCCAATGTCAATAACAGTGGTGATACCCAGATTGCATATTTTTAGAAGCCTCTCTGGAAAGTTTTGCATTTTCTGTAATATCACAAAGGACCCCTTCTGTTTACAGTTGCTTAGAACTAAGAAGACAGATATTTACCCAAGTTTTCTTGGCTTCCTCTTGCTCCCTTGATATTCTGGAGTTCCCTGTGGAGAGGGCCAAGAACACACAGTCAAAGCAAAGCAGCAAGTCGTTAATTTTTAATTCAAAGTGATTTTGTGTTGAATGCAAGCAGATGCTGATAATATCAGAAGTCACAGCATAATTTTTTTGATCAAAGGGCTCAAGTGAGCCTGATGAAGCATGCATCTTGCTCGTCTTTGATAAACCACATCAATTATTCACCGTGAAGGCAGACATCCTGACATGAAAGCAACAGATAAAGAGCCTAAGCACATGTTCAAGACGAGAGCATAAGAGAGAGGGGGAGGGGCTGGAGGGGCTGGAACAGGTATTAATAACAGAATTATTAACTGGAAACAAAGCCAGTGAAACAGCTTTATGACCACTTTGAACTCACATTTAACTGGTTATAGTACATGGTGTCCTCAGGGCTACTCAACATTTTGGGCTGCTGACATCGTCGGCGAGGTGTTCGCTGCTTCTGTGCAAGACCATTCTTTGAACCTGCAACAAGACAGCAAAACTTTACTGTAAACAATCCCAAATGTTGGGAAAATTAAGTGAAAAATGGCTCTTCACATAAATGAACTTAGTAGAAATTATGTCCTGTTTTAATAGGCATGTTAGAAGCTTTGCTAATATTAGGAGAAATGTCATCCTACAAAAACACACATGTAGGAATTGCTAAGTGTAAGCAAGGGCCACTGCCTGTGATTGTGCCTTCATCTTCTTGATCTGAATCAGCAGTTCAGAGTGACAGAAAGCAAATTAGTTTGTCCACTGGTAAAGCAGAAGTTAGTGGGATAACTCAGGACAACTAAGGCAATCTGGGATCGTTTGCTCCACATCCTACCGTGAGAGTTCAAAGACATCTGGAGCACACATACTCTTGGGGAGATGAGAAACAAACCTTTTGGAGGGATACATTTTGGGGGGAAAATGGCTTGGGTTAGTATTTACTGAAAGGCTTTGAACAATACCACTGATCCATGCAGTCTCTGGAGGTAGTGTAAAGGAGAAGGGGCGAGGATGATTGCAGCCACTCCCTGTTAATCCTGATTTCAGAGCCCTGGACCAAGAGTGCACTGGAGATTAAGAAACCACGTGTCAGATGAAGTCATAACTCATTTCCCTTCCAAGCAAATGGTTTTCATGGAATCTGCTGTCCTTTTGGCTCTATAATCTGAATCAGGATTCACCAGTTCTAATTTCTTGCCAACACACACACACACACACACACACACACACACACCTGTCATAGAATATTGTCTGTGAATGTCATAGTCTAGAGAAGAAATACCACTTATCCGGACAGGTTGTTTATCATAAACTAATTATTCATAAAAAAGAGTTGGAGATTTGTACTTGGAACTATATTTTAACTTTACTAGAGATTTACACTACTTAAGGAAATTCTGGGATAATTTTTAACAAGTAACTCAGCAAGAACCATTATAAATAGCAAGTTACCCATTTCCTAAGTATAAAGTATAAAGTTTTGTATCTTGATTTTTCTTAAATTGGGACATATCTATGTTTGGACAAGGCTATTAGAACCATACAGGACTTCAGAAGTGATTCATTCTAAATCCCGCCCCCCCTTTTTTTTTCCAGAAGAAAACTGAGGCCCGTAAATGGTGAATGACTAATCTCAGATCAAGTGGCAGAGTGGGAACCCAACCCTAGATCTCTTACCCCCATTCTAGCAGGCATTTTTTGTTTTTGTTTTTTTAAACTACTGCATATTACCTTTCTTAACAAGAAGCTTTTTGTTTAAGTCAAAAGTCTAAATAGAAGTAATCTAGATGAAAAATTATTAATTAGCATAGCAAAATCATGTTGCTTGCAGATGGTTCCAATGGCCTTAACAGGCATCCCTGTCCACAACTTCAGGAACACTGTGCAGGCTAGCCTGTTGTGCTCGCATTGTTCTCAAAGTATGAGGAATCCAGAATTGAAATGGGTTTTTTTCTGATGGTTCCAACATACCTACTTCCTGTTCTCTTTGTGAAGTCCACATTCTGATATATAGTAGAAGGCAAGGTTGTGAGGCCTTTTGTGTTACCTCCTTTCCGATTTAGAGATTAATGAACAGAAGTCTCCAGAGGTCAGGTTGCTAGTGTGAACGTGTACTGGAGGTCTGACATCTACTTTCCCTCAGACTTTATGATACTGCAGGAATACCATCAACTGCAGCTCAAAAGACTGATCTTAAATAGTTTTTAGGTTCAGCTAGAGTTCAGCCCAGTTCAGCTGGACTTTATATTTATATAGTGTTTACAATTGATCAGAGGGTCTTATTTATATTGTCTCAACTGGCAATGCTTAATATAAGATATGGTTCACAACCTTTGCTCTTCACAAACTTGCTGTTCCATTGGTTGGTATTCTTTTCCTGATTCTTAGAAGAAATTAAGTTATTAGGTAGAATTTTTTCAATTTTAACATTTCTCTCATCAATTTTTTTTTTCCTTTTTTTGTCTTTTTTACTGACTGGTAACGGGATCGCAACCCTCGGTGTCGCCCCCGTACCGGGGACCGGCAACGGGATCGCAACCCTCGGTGTTGCGCCCGCACCGTGCTCAGCCAGTGAGCGGGAACCGGTCTCCACATGGGATCTGAACCCTCGGTGGGAGCGCCGCTGCGCTCCCAAGCGGCGCACTCTCCAGTGTGCCACCGGGCTGGCCCTCTCTCATCAATTTTAAAAAGCTGTTAGTGTCTGATCATATGCTATCAATACTATCTGATATAAGCTGATTGATTTAGCATCAAATTTTAATTTTCATTATTTTAGGTTTAATATCTCCATATTTTATGATGTTCTACAGAGTGCTGCAACTTCCAGATGCTTTGCCATTGCAACAAATCTGAGTGTCATTCATATATGACCAATTGTAAGCAACTAAATAAATAATTGGGAAATGAATCATTATTTAATAAATGCTTTTGAAACAATCTGACAACAGTATGCAAAAAATATAACTTAAATATAAACATTATAGCATTTATTCTATATGCAAGGTACTTTGCTGGATACCTTGGGGGAAGACAAATAGAAATAAAACAAAGTCCCTGCTTTCAATCTAGCAGAGGACACTGAGTCTTAAGAGGTTAAGTGACTTGTTTAAGGCCATAAACTAGTGCTGAACTCAAATTAGTTTCTTAAATTCTAAATCCTTTACTTTTCTCAATATGCCTCTTGCTTCTCACAGGCCACAATAAATTCCAGATGAGATATATAGCTAAACATTTTAAACATTCCCATAAAAACCTTGGAAGGAAACAAAATAGACTACCTCAACTGTGGAAGAAGATATTAGTGACAAGAATATGTTCAATTACATTAAAGTAAAATATTCTGTGTGATGGACAGTAACAAAACTAAGATGAAAGGAAGTGTAACAGAAAGATAAAGACAATTAAAAATATATATCCATAAAAGTCTACATCCATAATGCAGAAAGGCTGAGGCGAGAGAGAAACAGAGAAACATTGACATGCATTGAAATACAGTTAGGAAATGAGATCCTGAAAAATGTTCAATCACTCTGGCAAAGAGCTTCAATGAAAACAGTTACTGCTACTTTTCTGTTACTGAGCATAAGCCAGTAGTTCAAAAGACAATGTGGGAGGGGCCCCAGCTAAACAGGTGAGTCTGAAGGTTCTACCCCTCTCAAAGTATAACCTGACAATAAACAACACGAGCTAAGCAACTTGTTCAAAGGAACATGTCCCAGTGAAATAAATCAAAAGAAAAATTTTTTTATAAAGATGAATATAATTATACTTTTTGTAGTAGATAAAAGCTAGAAACATGATAAATATTTAATAATTGGGGAGAAATTAACTCTGAGATATAAATATTGTCATACCATGAAAGCACCAACAAGCACTGATAAATATGGTATGGTAGCGTTAGATAAAATTTCAAAATTCAGAAAAAGAAGCAAGATACAAAATAGCATATAGCACATTGATTAAAACCATGTATGTATGTGCATCGAGAAGTTTATAATGATTTTTTTCTTTGAAAATTTTTGAAAATTAAAAAATCAGTGAGACTTGTAGGATAAAAATTTTTCTTTCAGCAGATGAAGAAACTAATGCTAAGCAAGGCTAAATCTGTAGGTGCAAAGTGAAAGCTTGAGCTCCTGTCTTTTGGCTTTTGAGCCAGTCAGTTTGCTTTACAATATAAAACAATATGGTTGTCTGACAGTTACCTAGTTCATTTGATTAGTTTATGTAGATAAACTGTGCAATTGAACTAGGTAACTGTCAGATTCTCATTAGAGTATGAGTTATTTACTTCAAAGACAATGATGCGTGTATTCTGAATGTGGTCTAATTCCACGTAAATGTCTGTAAACCAAACCACTCTCTCCAGTTTGTAATACATTGGGGGCTACCTCCTTATTGTGCTTTTAAAAGGTATATTATGTCATGAATACCAGTTTGCATTTAACATAGGTCTCTTTCCTTTTTAAGAATCCCTGCACCTGTGATTTAGTATCTGATATCTTCAGCACATCCTTCTGTTCTGAATTCCTGTAGAACTTTATAATAAACAGGAGCTAAATCTGTCAGAAAATGGAAGCAGTCTTGATAGCATTTCAGGAGCACTGGGAAATGCATACTTCTCACTCCTTAACCCCAAATCATCACACTGTGTGGCTGCACACTTGCCCAAGCCCCTAGTGAGAGAAAAATAGCTGAATTCAGTCAATTCATTACATAACTTCAAACATTGGTTTAAAACTTTAATATTTCTTTTCTCTTAATTCAACATACAGGTATATCCAAACTAGAGTTGCCAGATAAAATAAAGGACAAGAGTTAGATTTGAATTTCAGATAAATAATGGATACCTTTTTAGTCTAAGTATGTCCCGTGTAATATTAGAGACGTATTTATATTTAAAAAATGATTACAGGGGCTGGCCAGTTAGCTCAGTTGGTTAGAACATGGCCTTGTAACACCAAGGTCAAGGGTTGAGTTCCCTGAACAGACCAGCTGCCAAAAAAAAAAAAAAAAAAAGAGATTGGTTGTTGATCTGAGATTCAAATCTGGTTGGGTGTACGTACTGCATTTTTATTTGTTAAATCTGGGAACTTTAATTCAAGCATAATTTTAAGTCACAAATGAAGGTTTTGTTCTTGTCCAGGGTCTCTGAGATAAAGAAGGAAATGGCTTCCTTTATTCCAATTTGACTTGTTGAGTTACAGCTATTTTGTCTACAAATGCTCCCTCCTACACTGTCCTCTAAAACATAATGTTTCACTTTTCATCACCTGCTACAGATGTGCCAATTCTGGTAAACTACCTAGAAGGACAACCTCAAGGGAGGCAGAATGGGGTATGCAGACCAAACATTCCTTGGCCTGGTGGTGCAGTATGGGTTCTTGGCCCCTGAGGAATGGGCAGGCTAGTGCTAAGGGTCCTGGGAGGAAACAGCTTGGGAGGCCTATAGTCCCTGGCACCCTCCTGCGGGCCCTCAGCAGGCACAA